TGATAATATTTTCTGTTTAAGAAATCTTTAAATTATTTCTATATTATCAAAAAGACAAATTTTTCAAATTTTCTCCTTGATGCTTCTCTAAGTTACTGCAGAAAATACTACACTACAACTTAGATACTTTTGTCAGTAGATTTTTATTGGATTCTATTTCTAAAATCCTTGCAATTAATCCATATTTATTGCAGTAGTCGTAAATAAATTATTGTATAAGACTGTTTGGTCCAGTTGATAATTCTTCGTTGGTGATTTAATATCAGCTTAGAAAAAAAAAAATTGTTTCACCCTTGGTCTTCATATATACCCAACAACAGTTTCCTGTCAGGAACAGGGTTAAATCTTTGTTCTTTGATTTTATGGAGAGAAAAAACAAGTATATCGGGTGCTGAAAAATAGAATTATTTTAAACTGATGATTCATCAACAACATCACAAATGTATATGAAGAGGCATACAAGTGTATGGTTTAAGTTTTTTCTTCAGAAATGTCACTTCATGTATATGTACATGTTCACATGTGTTTGTTGATACAAGAAACACTGAAAAGTTGTACAGAAGTATTGGGACTAAATATGATAATGATTTACTGATATCATTCTGATCAGTTATTGAAAGAGGTTATGGTAAAGTTGTATTTGCAAATACGAATGCTTTGTTTAATAAGAATTATATTTCATGTAAATTTCTTGATTATGAGCAGATAATGCAAATGTAGCAACAACATTGAATTACTTAGATTTTAACATATTGTACATCGTGTGTGTGTGTGTGCTCTGCTGGAAAGACAAGTTAAATGATGAAACAAACATTTTCTGTGTGTATAAAGTTTGTGTAATGGTAAAGAGGGATGGAATATATTAATTTTTTTAGAAAATACTAGCAGAAACTCTGCCCTATAGGTGGTTGTTTATGCTAGTAATTACTAATCATAGTATTCATACCTCATTGAAAACATTTTCTAAAAAATTATTTTTTTTCTGGGAAGTACTGCATAGGAAAAGTGTTTGGATTGTGCTGATATGAACTGTAATGTTTTTATATATTAAAAGTGGTACCCTATATTGAAAAAAGTTTTTTTAAGAACTCCATTTTTAGTACTATATCTACAAATTACATCAATAAAGGTATAATTAAACCCTCATGTACAGTCCTAGTAAAAATCATGTTTTTGTTGTGAGGAGAGTATTTTTATTTAAAATTGTGTTCTGTGATACAAAAATGGTTGTTGCACATACCATAGTTATTTTTCTAATTGTCTAAATCCTGAATACCCAAATTGTTAAATTTTTTATGGATTTTTGTTTGTGGTGCCATTCAGTAGATGGAATCACATACATAAATAGATACATATATACACGCTACATCATTTATAGTAAAAAGATTGTGTGTGTGTTACTCAAAAGGCAGTTATGAGGGTATGACCATATTTATGCATTTACAAAGGGTTGAGTAAGTTATATTGAAGTGATTTTGAATATGCGTATCAGCAAATCCTATCATTCACAGCTGCTATAAAATATAATGCAACAGAGTGTATTCAGAACTACATTTTGATATTATTTGCCATATTTTAGTTAGTGTGATGCCACTCAGAATTTGTAATTTTTGGTAAGTATATGTAACAAACCTTCCCATTTTAAAATATATGTACACTCAGATTGTACAGATGTGTTCAGATTGAGGATTTAAAATTTCCAAGATGGGGATATCCTTTTTTCTTAACAGCATTGGAAAACAAGTAATATGGATCAACTTGGGGCATCAGAAATACCCAGAAAAAGACTTGTAACTATCATAACAAAAGCCAATCCACATGATTTATACAACTGTATGCAGCATAACCAATAGGGGTTTCTATCTGTAAGAGTGAAACAAATCATGTGTACCTAATTTGTTTCCAGGACATATCTATTCCAGTAGCTTTACAAGGAAGTGGGTATTTGTGCTACTTCATATGAAGAGATACCAATCAAGCCATTGAATTAATTGTCTTTTGATTTCTTTGCAACCAGACTGTTGAAATGGGTGCTGGAAAACTATCCTCATACATGAGATGTCTTATGGAAAACATATAGGAAGGAGGGGTGTGCTTTGGTCATGATAATCTTAAGGCGGAGCCTTTTGAGTAGAAACTTTAATGTAGGGCTATAGTCAAAATATACACTTGTCAAATGGAGCTTGACAGGATATGGCAACATGACTGTAGCAATATCTTGAAGCTCCAGAATAATTTTTAATATAATGTATACTCGACCTCTGCATAGTATATTGCTTATATCTAATGCTGAAAAGAAAGTAAAGAGGGTAGGGCCATACTTATGGTTTTTGAATACATTGTTTGTCTCATGCTAGAAAGAGTAGAATCATAATTCATGGCTTTAAAGTACATTAAAGTCATAAAGGTATGAATTGTCTTGTGTTTCGTTATGTATCTATATATCATGTTTGGAAGACAGACACGAACATAGGACAGTAAAGTGTGTGTGTGTATATGGATGTCAAATGTTTTGTTATACTAAAAAGAGTCCTAAGGGTGAAGATAACAAAAGAATACAATATTGTGTAAGCAATTAATAAAAAAACACAGTGAATGGAACAAACTTTCAGGAAGAAAAAAAAACTGGTCAACAAATGCCTATGTGCTCTTGGAATTCCCTTAAGGACATGAGAGGTCAGGAAGTTAAGTTTAAAGTGACCTTGGGAGGTATTCAAATTAGACAGGCTTTTGATTAATCAACTTTCAACGATTCTTCTTTTTATATAGTTATCTGTTTTGTATAAAATTTTTGTTGATTTCCAATCAATTTGATGGCCAGAATCTCTCATATGAAGAAAAATGGCATTGTTTCAGTTTCCATATTTTGTCCTTTTTTTATGTTCAGAAACTCTTGTGTGAACACTTCAAGTTTCACCTATCTAACCTTTCTCACAGGATTGGCATGGTATAATATAAATGTTTTATTTTCAGGTGTTTTTCTGTTTGAAGTTAGGTTATTTTTAATGGTGTTTGGATATTTGTATATGATTTTAAGGTCATTTTCCATAACATTTTCTCAATGGGTTCATTGGTTGATCTTTCTTTATCTTCAAGGAACAAGATTTTTCTTGCTTTAAGATGGCAAAATCATTTATGAAAGAAAGTTAGAAGAACTTCTTATGGACGGGTATGCTTATACCATTTATCATCAACATTTCTTTTAAGAAATTCTTAGGTTTCTTCAACTGATATGTTGATAAAAAAGTCTTTGTATCATTTTTCATCATTCGTGTGTCATGCTAGAAAGACAAAATCAGGGGAACTTTTCATTTTATTATACCCCAACTGAATATGTCATGCTGATGAATTAAAATCAGGGTAGAAGTATTCATTTGGGTTCATTATGTGGTGTCAGACTTAAAAGTGACATGTGACAAATGCCTTGTCTATGTAGAATGTTTTAGAAACCTTTGTATAGTTGTATTGTTAGCTATGATTAGTTGTGTGAAATAAGTTCTAATGGTTTTAAGGTCTTTGAATAATCTTTATGGGTAGTGCTTTGGTTTCTTTGAAGACTAATGATGTTTTGGTTTTTTCTTTGTAATGCCACAAATAGCTTATATTTTCTAAAAGATATGAGAATTTAAAAGATACTCATTTTTAGGTTGTTTTTTTTATAAGTTGTACCTCATATTTGCAAATACATCTGTTCCTGAAGATCAGATTTTTTTTAGTTTTGATTAATATAAGCAGCTTTATGATATTGACCATTTGTTCAAAAAATATCTTAAATATATTAAGACTTTTTCAAATTGAAGGAAAAATTTGAAAAGAATATCAAATTTAAAAGATCAATTTGAAGTACTCTTTCATCCACAAGGATAACAACAATTTACTTAAATGTAAGATTATTTGAGTCAACATTTTGTTTACACATCATTTACATACAGGATCAGTTTAACTGTAAGTTGATTGGTGATACCGCTTGATCTAGTTACCAACTAAGACTAAAACAGAATTATCCTCTTCCCCCTCCTCTGATGGCTCTGCAGTAAACTTGAGGGCTTACACTGTTCTAACACTTGTGGTTTGACTTCCGTGATGGGCACAACACAGGTAGCCCATTGTTTAGCTTTGTACTTGAAAAAAATTCTTTTTAATTAACAAAGATTCATATCTACCAGCAGAAGTTTTGTTTTTAAGCATGTATAAGTATGGTATCCACTGCATTAATAAGAATAAAGATAATACATCATATAGATTTGCATAAGATTTACTATACTTTTAGTGAAAATGAAATGTTAATGTATTATTAATTGCTTTTTTGCTGTTGCTTTAAGAATATGAATACATTTTGCTTGTATTTTAAATAATTACAGAATTACTCAGACTATGTTGAGATTAGACTGAAAAATCACTTGTTACTACATTGTAATTATTATTGGCACTTACAGTGAACCTGCACTTGTTCTTAAAGTGAATTTACATTTAAATTCTGTTATCTTTACACATACTTAAATAGTTATGAATTTTGTTTATATTTTCATGCCAGAGAAAAGATTGATATTTTGTAAGTTAGTAATTTCATGTATTGGAACATTGCAGGACAACATTAAGCCTGTAAACTGAAATAAGAAATCCTATTATTTTTCTTAAAGATAAGAGTTGACACTATTGTTCTCATGTTGCTGTATGTCACCTTTTGTAATTCAATTCTAAAAGTTAACATCTTGGCTTTATACTGCACAAAATTTCATACATTTAAAAACTTTCAAAATTATTAAGACTGATTTAGAAATTTAACTGAAGCAATTGCTTAAGTTTATATGTAGAAAAACCTGGTTTTTGAGTAAGCTGTGAAATACACTAAGTCCTGAATTGTTAAAGTGTGATAGTAATCCATCAAAAAACTCAAGAATTAGAAATTTTTTATGTATTGACCTAGAGATCTTTCAGGTAGGTAAGTTTGGAACTAAAGGTGGGAAGACAAACTTAAGTTTTAAATTCCTTTCTGATAGTCTGGAGCTGAATTTCAAGCAGAAGAGGAAGATCAAATGTTACGAGCTATTGCCATGTCTCTTGGTGAAAATGTTCTTGTGTCCACTAATCAGGTAGTACGAATACTCCTCCAGTGAATTTAAGATCTCGTCAGTACACCATAGATCTGAAGGCAGAACAGTGTGTAATTTGTTATAAAAATTGTGTCCATTGACACCACTGTAACTCTCTTTCTCTCTCCCCCCTGATTCTTTCTTGTCAGTATATAATCTGTGTGTGTGTGTGTATGTTTTTGGAATCTGTATGGTATCTAACACTTCTGTTACACTTTTATTAACTGAAGGCAGATTAATTATTGTGTATAACCACTGTAGCATTAACATCATCAGATATTGTTCCTGTGTATATAAATCTTCCTAAAGTATATTTTAAGTATCATTTGTTGTGTGCAATTGTGTTAAAAATTTGTTTAATTGTTCAGCAACAGTAAATACAGAAGTTTTTTGTTTTTTTTCCTGGTTATGATACTTGAACAATTTGTTTAATTGTTCAGCAACAGTAAATACAGAAGTTTTTTGTTTTTTTTTCCTGGTTATGATACTTGAACGGTGTTCTTGCTTGCAGTTTAGGCAGCTGTTCATCTGTGTGTGTGTGTGTTTATGTTGCACAGTACCTGATGAAGCTTAAAGCTTACTTTTAAAATGCATCAAACTAGTTTTCCCCAGGACCACAAGTAAAAACTTCCATCTGAGTGATGTTCATCTGTTGATGTTGAAATACTGCCTTGAAATTGCTTTCTGGCATTAAGCATGATTTGTAGACTATAAAGAGTCAGCTAGTTCTTTCATACCCTGTTGACCCTTATGTAAAAATGTACCTTGTAAAATTTGTGTTGGTTTAAAACAGAAAAGCACGTGAAATAAGCTATTTTAGAAATGAAGATACAAATACTAAAACTTTCATGCATTTTAGGTATCTTAGTTTTAGTAATCTCTTGAATTTGCTCAAGCAACTTGTATAATAGAGAGTATGTCATACACTCATTAAGTAACAGTGAATGTATCTATTTTTGATGTATTTTTACCTAACTTTATAGGTAGAATGGAAAGATGATTAGGCAACTTTATATTTTTAATGGGAAGGCCTGTTATTCATCATTATTAAAATAACCTAGATGAAAAAATACAATCTTAAAGCCTACTACACTTTATTGTTTTATCAGTAAATTATTGTAAATTTCATCTGGCTATTTTTTCATACAACATGCCGTAAGACATGCAATATATATCACAGTGTGTGAACCTGTTTTTTATGAATAGTTCTTGGGTAAAGGCACTAATCTGTTCAAAAGAAGTAGAGCCTGTTTTCTATTGTTCACCACTGGCTTCCGAAGACAAATGGAAATGTTTCCGATGTGCATAGTTCACTCACTGCTGGCTTTGAAAATAATTTTGAACTGCTGTTTGGATGGCTGATATGTTGATCATGTTACCTTGCAATTTTTGGCAGATTTTAATTGCTTTAATCTTCACTGTGTACTTCTTTTCTTTCTTTCTTTTTTTTGCATGATTAAATCATGTTTTATCATACATTTTTGTAGAATTAAACAATTGGGTCATAATTTGACTTGAGAGCCACTGATACAGACTTAAGATCTAGGGTCATTTGGTGCTATACGAGTCCTATCTTGTATGCATAAGATCATATGGTACTACTCGAGTCTTCTCTCGTATGCATAAGATCATATGGTACTATTTGAGTCCTCCCTCGTAGGCATAAGATCTGTTGGTACTATTTGAGTCCTCCCTCGTAGGCATAAGATCTGTTGGTACTATTTGAGTCCTCTCTCGTAGGCATAAGTTCTGTTGGTACTATTTGAGTCCTCTCTCGTAGGCATAAGATCATATGGTACTATTTGAGTCCTTTCTCGTAGGCATAAGATCTGTTGGTACTATTTGAGTCCTCTCTCATAGGCATAAGACAACTTGTTGCTGTACGAGCCTCATCTTGTATGCATGAGATATCTTAGTGTTATATGAGTTGTAAATTTAAAGCATAAAATCATCATACGTGAACCACTATTGTAGATTTATACCATAAAAGCATACTGACATTACAAGCATTGTTGTATGCTTAAGTGCTATAAGAGCCACCATTTCTGACTTATGGTATAACATTGTTTTGCACTATATGACTGACAAAGCACAAATTTACAACTATTCTAAACACTTTGGTGACAAGTTTTTTCATCAGGTGACTGAATGTTGTTTAAGGACCCAGTAGGCAACCATCTTTGTACTGAGAACATTTGCATATGAGAATAATAATATGCCTTCCTTCATTGTTCAGCTGCTTACAATTAGTTATGTCCTCTGCATATTCTTTAAAATCTTGCTGCCATTTTGTTTCCCGTATTTTAGCAGAATGATCATTTCAGCACTTGTACATCACTATAAATCTGAATCCATAACTTATTTAGTAAGCTGTAATATTGTCTCGTTGAATAAAAAGAAGGCTACTTATTTTGCTTTATTAATTCGATCTAATAGAAAGACGTGCTATGATACCATAATAATAATAATGTTGTTTTTGTGTGAAAAACTTTTATTGCTTGTCCATGAGCAGTTTAATTGTTCTACATGTAAGTCTGCTAGTACCACAACTAGAGTAGTGAAATTTGGGCTCATTAATTTGTTACATTCAACTAATTTATTATACTTGAAATATGATACTAATTCATTGAGCTGAATAACTTGTATTGATCAAAAGTAATGATGAAAAATAATCATGACAGTATTTCGATTACTTGGGTTATTGGAATAATTGCAAACAGTAATTTTGACTGGTTGATTATTTTTGTGACATTAATCAATTTCATGATAATTTCAGTTAATTGATTATATGTGACATTAATTGATGTAATGATAATCATGGGTAATCAAGTTAATTGCTCATGTCTAACCACAACCTAAAGCTTAACCACCATCACAGTTGTGATTCTTATCTGTGCATACCAAATCTTACAGGAACATGGTTTTTGCGAATAAATTTATTTCTTATTACTTAATGTATCGAAAAATAACAAACATTACTTTAACATTAACCTTACTGTATTGAGAAATTGTGAATGTGATGTGTTTTACCAATATTGAGTTAATATTGTTAAACTTACTCAACTTCCTTTATTAGTTTATCATCAGGAGACACTACAAACTGTTCAAAGAACATTGCAACATTATTAGCCTTTACTCTGTTAGTTATTACATTATGCATGAAATTAAACTTCTATCATTACATTTTTCTCATAGTTTAAGACAAATGCTGAAAAGTGAGTTTAGAAACAAATGCAAGAAAACCTGAAAGTGGTTATAAGAAAAGGTGTTATGATAATATTTATTGTTAAAAGTAATATTCAGACCTATATCAAGACATTTACATTTATAAACCATTTATACAGAAACAATCTTGGTAAAGTTTCAGAAAGGGTGATTATTATAATAGTAATTACATATTTTGCAGTCTGACTTTGCATGAACACTATCTGTTAAAACAGTATTAAAAGAAGAAATCTAGTATGCATTTGTGTGAAGTGTACTTCTGATTCTTTATTCCATGATTGATGTGAATACAGGCAAACCAAACATACTATTTAAAATGAAAATAACGTAATGAACATAATAATATATTAATATGTTACTTAAAGTCTTATACAAGTTGATTATGTGCAGTTTATTACACTTTGAAAGACTCATTATTAGTTTGGATTAAGGAGATTTTTACAAGTAACTACTGATGTTATTTTAATGTGATTCAAGTTAGACCAACAACATTAATAATAAATGTTTGTTAAATATTTTCCATTTGGTGTGAACAGAAATTAGATTCAGATATTAGAATTTGCTACAAACTCTCATTAAAGAGTAAGTAATGTAACAAAGTACTTTTGATTTCTCTTTTAAAATTCATGATAATTTACCTTCATAATTGTGAAACATGATCATAATACATATAAAACTGGAACTCTGAGTAGAGGAAGAGATTAGTTAGGCGTGTTAACATATGGACAAAGAAGGATGTATGTTTGGTTTTTTATAGATTGTTCCAACTCAAACATTTTACTGATCTGTTGGATTACTATTTAAGGAAAATTAGTGGAGGACTAGCAGTAGTTTTACAAACACTGCTATTTAACAAAGAATGTTTAAGCTTAAACAACAGAAACAATGCATTCTTATATTAGTCTAGTGAAGTAAAATAAGAGGTGAATGTATATAAAAAAACAAAGCCTATAGACTTAACAATTGAAAATGTTTCTGTTGATTTAAAATGTAATATTTCTGTGTCTAATGATGCCATACATATTTTAGATTTAAGGCACAAGATCACTGTGTATAAGAGACAGTTGTTGACTGTTTTTTTGTTTTTTTTTAGGGCATGAGATCATTTTGCAAAGTGTGATACACTGTCATACGCGTAATCATTTAGATAAATTTTTTTATGTGAGATACTGTTGTAGATGTAAGCTATTAGATTACTTGGCATTACATAAGATATTTTTGTAGGTGTAAGCAATTTGAAACAGTTCGGTGGTAATTTTTTTAAACATAGCGATGAATAAATAGAATATGTAGTCAACCCAATCTCTTGGATCATAGCATATATGCAATATGATTGACTTGTGGGCTGTTTACAAGTCTTTTGTCATATCATGCATATTAGTAAGGAAAATTGCATTTCATTTGTTTTCAAGCAAATGCGTTGTTAGCAAAAGTGTTTGGGTTTTGATACAATGAGTGCATCCAATACAATAGAGCACCCAGATTCCTTATGTTGTTGCAGGGATATTTCCTGCTGGATGCAATTGTTCCTTGTCATTTTACTGAGCACAAGAAAAGACTGCTATTAAAGTGAACACTTTTTAACAGATGTCATTTCTATCAGAAGTGTCAAAGGGGAGATATTCAATTCAGTTGAAATCAGTTTATTCGACATGAAAAAATATATATACATAAACTGAACAACAAGTATGTACTCAAATATGTTCCTCTTTTTATGCATTTTTTTTGTTCATGCTCCTATTTCCAAAATATTTCTTTCAGTCAGTTGGCAGAGG